ATCACCACCACCACCAGATCCACCACCACCACCACCACCACCATCATTACCACCACTATCACCAACAAACTCACCACCAAACCCACCACCACCAGATCCACCACCACCACCACCAGATCCACCGCCACCACCACCATCATTACAACCACTATCACCACCAAACTCACCACCAGCACCACTACCACCACTAGCACCACCAGATCCACCACCACCATCATTACCACCACCAACAACAACAAACGCACCACCACCAGATGATCCACCACCACCACCATCATTACCACCACTATCACCACCAAACTATCCACCAGCACCACTACCACCACCACCGGTGGTGGTGGTACCACCACCACCAGATCCACCACCACCACAACCACCATCATTACCACCACCATCACCACCATCACCACCATCACCACCATCACCACCATCACCACCATCACCACCATCACCACCATCACCACCATCACCACCATCACCACCATCACCACCATCACTACCATCACCACCATTACCACCATCACCACCATCACCACCATCACCACCATCACCACCATCACCACCATCACCACCATCACCACCATCACCACCATCACCACCATCACCACCATCACCACCATCACCACCATCACCACCATCACCACCATCACCATCACCAGCTCCACCACCATCACCAGCTCCACCATGGCCCCCAACACCGCCTCCTCTACCATTACCTCCACAGCCCCCAGCACCTTCACCAAAAAAAGCATTACCACCATCGCCGCTTTTTACGTTCCGGAGTAAGTCCTTATATAAGGAGATATATCTTATCTGTGCACAGCTTGGATGAGTCGATAACAGATGTGAAATACTTCTATAGTATTTGTGTATGAGTATGATTGATGGATTATTCGAAACAGCTGCTCTGGATGTTTCGTCCTGTGTCAACCCCCGCCCGGCTGGCGCCACGCTGTATACACGGCATTTAACACAGCTTTAACCTGACGCTGAGGCAGACATGATCTTGGCCAAAGCCTCCAGCGCATTTTGCGCTGAAATGTCCGATACTCCACGCGTGTTTTTGCAGTTTACAATAAGCAACGCATTTTGCTGCGCTCTTCATTGACTAGCTAGTCTGTAGAGAGCCAAGATTCGTACGGCATTGTTGAGAGTTAACTTGGCCTTGCTCTTGGAGTGGCACAGCTCTAAGCTGATCGAATGTTCGCACCTTGGCTGTGTACAAAATTCCAACACTGTACTCCATCCGATATGTAGACTCCAGATAGTGTAGGCAGAATGCCTAATTACAGTAGTGAACCGCTAAGGGTAATTGTACGATATCCTAGTGATCTGGGTCTCCTGGACCAACTAGCAAACTGACAAGCCGACAGGCTACCGTCAGTAAGTTTTTTTTCGTTGAGGGCGGGTCTCAATTTATTCTAACCTAAGTAATAAAGTTGCTAGGTTCGTCGTCAATTTATTCCTTAAGTGTGAGGCGCCGGGGGGGGCTCCGGCCCCCCCAGACCCCCACCATAAGTTACATCTCCCCTCATGCCATCTGTAGGGGTTCTCTTTCTGCCTATCCCGCCATACACCGTCGCTCTGGCCCTTGCGGATGCGCTGTGTCTGAGCCCGCTTGGCATGGCGAGCGCTCGGGTTCGGCGCCTGGAATAGATCAGCGGCATTCACTGCTGTTGTTGTCGAGCTGATTAGGTGATAGCTTGCGCTTATGCTGATTACACCCGCCTTGGAGGGCAGGGGTAATGGCGCCCGTATCATCGGTCGCCACTGGCAGCAACACCATTGGCGATGCATTACCGACAACAGCACCGCCATCCCAAACGCCTTTATCAGGAAAAATTCCAGGCTTATCATGCTGTTTTGGTGTCTGTTCGACGTTCAAGTCGTTGCCTATTGCATGTTTGGCTACGTGAGGACCGGTCATACATTCTGCTATGCCGCGTTGACTCACGGGCTTGACTTTCATACGGCCCCTCATATCTATCCTATGATTGAAAATACTAAGTTCTGCACACTACGGAGCAATCTGGCAGCAATGGACGTTTTTGGCTGGAGGAATGAAAATGCACGGTTCGAAAAAACCGGCCTCAATTCATTCCTTTTTTCCAAAGGCCAAAATGCCTGTTTATTTCTTTTAAGTAATATATTACTTAATAAAAAACGCTGGCTACCGTTTAGAACCTTACTTAGAAGTTAGCTCTAGAAGCTTCTCTCCTGCCGTGTCTAGGTAATTACCTAGACCTAGACACTGCTATTCGTTATAACTTATAGCAGTGGCCAATGTCTGAGTCAGCACAGCCATTGCTGGCGGTGACCACTGTCGCCGACACCGACTGTCTCTAGGAAGGGGGAAAGCAGGCATATATAAGTTGGTTGTACAGTGGAATCAACTATCAATATTTATAGTCCATGGCCTCCCGGCTGTGACGGACCCCCCACACTCGTGTGGAACTTGTAACTTGTATAAGGAGGGCATGAAACAAGTCGAAGTATTAGGCATACAACATCTGCTGCGTCTGGACCAATCCCGGTACCTTGCCCAAAATTTCTGTTTAAACAGAAGCAAGGATAGGAAATTTGTCAACACTATATGTGTGGCTGGTTTTCGACAACCATGGGAAATGCCGAGCTTCTGTAGTATCCTTTAGGGCGTATTACAGCATTCTGACATCCACCGATCTGAAGTCGAGATAAAACAGCTTCACCAAGCATTTCGGCCTGCTCATTGCACGATAATTCAATGAAGCATGCGTAGAAATCGCAGCCATGCACTTAATAACTGTCCTAACACTTTGTACTTGATATTGAATTGGATTGAATTGAATTAAATACAGGGTGGGAGGCTTCTGGGCCATTTGAACACATTGACATTTCTACGATTTGTCATATCATACGTACTTGATATGCACAATATGTGTGTCTTACCTTCGAGAGCTGTGGTACCACCACCGGTGGTGCAGCGGGGTTTGAAAATATCACACAAGTATGCAAGTGTTTACATAAGCACATACGAGTACATGTGCTCACACATGCTCACACATGCTCACAGGAGCTCACTGCTCTGGGAAAACGGAAAACCGAAGGACAACCGGTCGTGCAACACGCAGCAAAAGCACACAATGGTTTAGCAGAAGCAGTCTGGTACGACCCTCAGGCCGGCCGTACACGCACAGCTCACACTCAGCACGAAGCAGCTATGTAACACCAGCAAAGAGTACTCAGGGAGATGTCAAGGGATCTGAACCCTTCTCACATTCCTCCCCCCCTCGAGTGAATATCCTCGGGTGCCCCCGGGCATATCCTGTAGGATTTTGGTTGTTTGCAATCTCGTAGGATTGTGAGTTTGTTTGTTATTGTGACATTTCGTCAGTCCCCGTCCGAGATGGAGGACTTGCTCAGGGAGATGCGAAGGGAGCTGAACCCTTCTCGCAAGTTAGTACTGCCTAACAACAGCACTTTAGACTCTCCCATGTACGGTAAAACAAGGGTGGGCCAGCGGTGCTTAAACCAACCTCCCAGCGGTTATTGCCGCTGATGCAGACATCTAAACACGACAGGAAAAGCTAGCAGCAGGCATGATGCCATACTAGAAACGATGTGTACGACGATGTGTTGCTCCTGTTGCAGTGTTGCTGCTGTTGCAGCGTTACTGCTGCTGCAGTGTTGCTGCTGCTGTAGTGTTGCTGCTACTGCAGTCATGCTCAGGCGTGTCTCGAGCCAAAGCGAGCAGGGGAGGACAATAAAGTCCTTGCTTGGCACCACATTAATCACCATCCAATAATGGACCATCCATGGGGGCCCCGGCTTCTATGGAAACCCCTGCACCGCACTTGAGCAGAACTTGTGACTCGTAACATGTTATTTACAGTCTGTTGCCCAGGATCTGCGAACTTCACCAATCGCACACTTATAATGAGGGGCCCCCGACTGTCCTCTTTTAAAACATAATTTCGGTGCTATCAAGCAAAGCAAGCTATGCATGGGGCCAGCCGGCTTCACCCTCGTGCACCTGCATGTGACTATCAGCGTGGCATGTTTTAAATATTGTTTACACGATGGCAAAGCCCAATCCCCTTGCCACTTGCACCTTTGCGCCACCTACAGCATGGTCCCAGCAGCCACCACCTGCTGGGATTGTCCTAGGCGCAACGTGGAACCCCTGGGTATCCTTCACAGCATACCTCCCCGCCCTCCAACCTGCCATCTACATGGGGGAAGCTGCAGAACTGCTCCAGGACTTCAGGTAAAGTGCCGTGCTGTAGATTCAGACAAATCAATCATATTGATACACCACAGCAGGGGCACACTCCACGGGCTCCAGGTACATGTCTGCAGGCACAGGCACAGGGATCGGTAATGGTAGTTGCAGTAGCGCTGGCAGCTCAGGCTGCACATAATAATACTGCACACAGTCGGCACACGGAATAACAATAGGAGATGGGCGGCGCATTAACTCTTAGGCATACGGCCTGCCATATGCTGCAGGTCCGTCCTCATGAAGAATGCTGGTGTGCCGTCAATTGATTATGTCCGTGCATCGTATAATGCCGACGACGTGGCAACAGAAACCGCAAGCGGCAGCAGCGGTGTCACCACAATGCGCCGTCTAAACCGCCGCCGTGGAAGGTCCCTAATGCAGTCCTCTGCCTTAACCTCATTCCCCGTTCCAGTTACCATTTATGTCCTGGTAAGCTCCATTCGAATACAGGGGTCACCTCCTATTCCAATCTTGTACCTGTCGTACAGTACAGTACAGAACACACCATCAATACATACATTCCGGTGCAGCACATCGTATAATGTAGTCGAGTCATGCGGATTTCTTCTCTCGCGGCACAAGCTCCCTTTTGTGGTTGAATGGTTGAATGCGCATTTTGGTTTCCCTAGTAGTGCTCCCGTATGTGGAATGGAGCTAGTTTCTCAACTTGGATGGTGCTCATGCACATTTCCGTGACATGCTATGCTAGTGGCTCGCCGCCAGACATAGTATTTCCTCAATCCTCTCTTTTCCTCAAAGCTACCAGGAAGCTGCCAGAAAGCTGCTATAAAGCTGCCAGAGAGCTACCAGAAAGCTGGCTCGTGACTTCAAATACCTGTACATTGTATTTTCTCCGGGCCAACTTGCCACTTGTTCACACGGCCCCATCCTCCACATCTGCGGCCTCTGCAGTCTCCCCTGTGTGGGACCTGATTAGCCTCCAAACCTCCCTTGTCCCTTGCAGTCCTTGCCTCCGGCTTTCCCACCCCTTCACCCCATCCCAAGCCCTTCCTTCCCATGCCCGCAACCCCCAGGTTTGGTTCCCCACGAACTGGATGTTTCTGCTCGGTCCAACCCCTGGTCAGACATCCCTGGACTGGCTGGTGTTTCGGCTCCTGCAGTTGCCCTCCCTGGTGTTACAGCACCAGGACTATCCACAACTGAACATCTCGGGTGTGCAGGTGAGCTCTTATCAGTACTGCTGGTCATAAATACCTCAGCTGTTGGGGAGCTGATCCCTTCGTACAATAACCCCATTTACAGTTCTCACCCCCATGAAGGCTCACGGCCTTACGCATACACATGCTGCAAGTCCTGTTGGTCTGGGTTGACACTTCTAAACTAGCGGTTTCTGGTCCTGGGTTCGATTCCCGGGGAGACCCCCGAATTAGTCGGGCGTGCGAGATTATGGCTAGCTGCTGAGCTATGGAGTTGAGATCGCAGTTGATAGACCAGATGCGCGCGCTGGATTGGTGGCGATTGCCGAACCCTCCGTCTCCTCGGACGTTCAGGTGAATGGAGGAGGGGTCCCTGAAGGCTGGATCCGCCGCCTTGGACTTACAGTTCGCATGGCGAAGTACAGTGTGGTAGTGGTGGATGGTGCTATAAATTATAGAACTGACAATGTGATAAAGCGGCCCAGAAGCCTCCCACTCTGTAACATAGCAAAAAAATAGCAAGTCCTGCATCGAATCCTCGGCTTAGACACACATTGAATCCAGGTTGTTCCTCAGACCTTTGGAGCTAGCAGACGCCCATCTCCACCAGTCACCCCGTTTACCGCGTGCCACGATACGTCAGGTGACAGATGTACGTTGCTCCGTGGCGACGCCCAGTCTTCGTCTGCGCCCTAATGTTGGCGGAGGGACACAAGTGGAATCCAGTATTCCTAATCTCGGAAACGACGTGCTTGGGTGGGAAGGGCTGGCAGCACAGGCTCCGGAGCTATTGCTGCTGCAGAACATGAGTGTCGGTGCAGGCGTTGGAATCACCATTAACATAGCGGCGGTGGCGGCCGCGAACACCAACCCTCCATCCATATCACTACAGGTTTGCATCCCTGTAGATTAATGTAGTCTTTGAGGTGCTTGTGTGCGCAAGTCAGGGGGGCAGGTCAACAAGTTCAGGCCTGCTGCATACAAGTAGGTTTCCGGCTGTGGCCTAGGGATTCATGAATCCCTGTGTGTCTGATCAGACACACAGCAGCTACTATTATCAAGACCCGCGCACCTCCAGGGCCTACTGCAACACCTACCGCTTGCTTGCGTGCCAATACCTACAATTCATGGGTGATTATTGACCCTTCTTGCCCTCTTCCTTGTCAGGGTGCCGCTTATTTGGAGACCCCTTTCTCTCCCAAGGAGACCTTTATCGAGCCGCCTGTCGCAGTGTACGACATTATTGATGCGAACAGTCTCCCCATTAATAGGTCATACATGATTTGCCGCCTCCCGCCTGGCGGAGCAGCGGCGCTGGCGGTTGACATGACCGCCGGCGTTGTTGACCTCATCCACAGTGGTGTTAATTGTAGCGGAGGCGCTGCGGCTCTGTACATTGACATGACTCGGCCCAATCAGCCGGGAGAGGTGTACGTCATCAAGTACAGTGCCTGGAACAGCCGAGGCATGTGAGTACGGATAAGATTTCGGTTATCATAGCCAGCACAGTGCCGCGGCTGTGCTGGTATCTGTGCACACGAGTACCTGCATGTTCTCCGTTCGCTCTATCTTTCCTGCATAGGACCTTTCCTAGGTCCAGCTGCCCCCATGCAAGCTTTCCAGTCCACGCCTTCATCTGATCTCACCACCCTGTTGCTTTTCTCCCCTTCCTTCCCCAACCTGCCCGCGGCCGACATACCGTGCCACAGCCCTGCAAGCCCAAGATTTCGCCTTGTTGTCATTACGGACGCTTGCGGGCAGAAAGGAGAATATTTCTGCTTTAAGCTGGGTCGGTGCTCCATCGGCGGGATGTAAGTGAGCGGTGCTTGTTGCAGGGGATGTCGGTCGTGGTGTTTGAGGCAGAGAGCGGTTGGAAGGGAGGTCTCTGAAGCAGGAAAAAGGGGAAGCCAGCACGGGAGAGCAAATAGGAGTTCGGAGGGATTCGAGGTCACAGCGCGTTCCGTGAGGCACACTGCATCTGTACCAACGGTAGCTCTTACAGGTAAAAGACCTTGCAATGGTATTTCTAACAGAGAAGATGTCGAGGGCATCTCAAGTCCTTTTCCATAAAAAACGCCGTTATTACTGTATCTACATGTCTACGCACACCCGCCTTAGCACAAACATGCTTGCATTTGGCTACCCTACATTCCCAACTGAAGATATGTGTCGGGGGGGCTCACTGCCTGGCAATGGAGTCCCCCTCTCCTTCCACCCGAGCACACCAAGAGGCGAAGGCCTCTCACTGCCCTTCACAACACTGGCTGAGAGCCAGCGTTTTTTAAGTAGTATATTACTTAAATGGAATAAACAGGCATTTCGGCCTTTGGAAAAAAGGAATGAATGAGGCCGACCCGTACATTTTCATTCCTTCAGCCAAAAACGTCCATTGCTGCCAGATTGCTCCGTAGTGTGCAGAACTTATTATTTTCAATCCTAGAATAGATATGAGGGGCCGTAAGAAGGTCAAGCCCATGAGTCAACGCGGCATAGCAGAATGTATGACCGGTCCTCACATAGCCAAACACACAAAAGGCAACAACTCGAACGTTGAACAGACACCAAAACAGCAAGATAAGCCTGAAAAATTTTCCTGATAAAGGCGTTCGGGATGGCGGTGCTGAGAACATCACGCAGTTGGTGCTGGATACACTGAACATGGAGGCCGACCTCGGGGAGGAGGACTTGGCATGCAAGCCCGTAGCGGTCAGCACTGACAGTGCAAGTGTGATGACGGGCGTGCACAACGGGGTGTCGGCAAGGCTCAGCCAGACCACGCCGTTCCTGCTGAGCATCCACTGCATGTCACACTGCATGACGCACCCACATCCAAGCATGAGCACCAGGTGCTGCTTGATGACACACCCACAGCATGGGTGTGGCAGGCCATCAGCAACTGTGCAGCCCTCACCGGCGGCTTAATGGAGTTTTCGGCTTTGGCCCAGCTGGTGTTAGTGATGGTGCCGGGGTCGGTGGAGGATGGTGGCGGTTCTCGGCCATGGGGTACTTGCAGGACCTCACCCGCAACCGCCTGGACGAGCACCTAGCACTGTGTGTGTGGATGTTTACCCAGGACCCGGCCGGTACATGATGCACCGGTAGAGTCCTAGTGTGCTGTGGTTTGCAGCGGCGGCTGACGGCCTGTGATTTGCTATGCGGCTGCTTGCTTTGGGCCTTTGCTTGGTCAAATTTACTTATTGCTCACAAACAGTGCCAGAACTATCTACACATGTGCATGAAGAGTGCACACATGAACAACAAGTTGGGTGTCGGCTTCCTTGACGCCGGAGAAAGGGCGGGGCCCCCCTGCATCCATACAGGCCGGTAGCTAGCGCGGCATGTGTGACAATCGATGGGTAGTGTCAACGCGGTGGGAGATGTGCTTTGTTGCAGCAGTGCTGATGGTGTGGGAGCTAAGCTTGCACCAGCGGAATCATCAGCACCGCCTGCAGGCTCCACGTGAATCACATCCCATGCCGCATGAAAAGTGCGGCAGACCGCAAGTCAGAATGCCCGTGTGGGCAAATGGTAACGAAAGCTGGGTGAATTTCGGTGCTGTCTGTGGTGTTTATCCCCGAAGCGCCAGCGGCCTCAGCAATCCGCCCCACAGCCGCGAGCTTCATCAGGGCACACCGCAAGTCTCCGGAGGCCCCGTGCATTGGCCAAAGTAAATGTATAAACAAGCAGCTTGTGTATTTCATAGAGAAACGAAAGCAAATTTGTTGGCCTGCTGGTGGCAAGTCAGATTGCCCATGCCGGCAAATGGTAACACAAGCTGGGTGTTCGAGTTATCATACGCCGTCATCTCAGACTTCCATTATGAGATATGCGGCAGCTTTCGGGATGAAATTTAGCGCGAGAGGCGTTGATGTGACTTTTGAGGTCGGTGAATGGAGGCAGCTAAACTTGTTTGTGCTCATACGATCTTTGTTGACTACAGGCGAGATACCTTGCAATAAAGAATGCTATATAGTACCGATAACGCGTTTCAGCCGGGTGAAATATTATGTATGTTGTTACAGGGTGGTTAACTTCGCCAGCGGCCCCCTTTCCCGGGGCAGTCCCTGCTCTCCCCTGCTAGAGGGGCACCCTAATCCGTCACCCCATCCGACTTCAGAATGTATTCTTTGGGTTCGGCAACTCACCACCAGCATCCAACCAAATCTAGCGGATCAACGGCGCATCAACTTAGTTCCTGATTAGCTCGCAAGTTGATTTTATCACGTCCTACATCGTCCATATGATGGGGGGCCACCTCCCATTTCAACACTCCTCAAACACCCGAGGAGCCGGCAAGCGAATTTGAACTCAGGTCGGCCGGGAGCAGAAGTCAGGCCTTAACCTCTGCCAGCCGCCTGCCAGCCGCCTGCCAGCCGCCTGCCAGCCGCCTGCCAGCCGCCTGCCAGCCGCCTGCCTATAATATTAGGTTTGGTCCGTTACACACTCAAGGCCTGGGAGTTCGAGTTATCATACGCCGTCATCTAAGAATTCAAGTATGAGATACGCGGTACCTTTTGAGATTAAATTTAGCCCGAGAGGCGTTGATGTGACTTTGGCCTCGGTCAATTGAGGCAGCCAAACTTGTTTGTGCTCATACAATTTTTGTTGGCTACAGGCGAGATACCTTGCGATAGAGAATGCTATATAGTACCTATAACGCGTTTCAGCCGGGCGAGATATTATGTTTGGTCCATTACACACACACGCACACACACACACACACACACACACACACACACTCACACACACACACACGGACATGGGCAATCCTACAGGTCGGGGCCCCCCTGGGCGCTTCAAAACGCGCCAACTCAGTGCGTGACTCTTGGTCTATGAGGGGAGTTGTAACTTATCGGGGGGGTCTGGGGGGTGTGTAGCCCCCCCCAGCGCCTCACACTTAAGGAATTTATTACGACGACCCTAGCAACTTTGTTACTTAGGTTGGAATAGCTTGAGACCCGCCCTAAATGAAAAATAATTCACTGCTGAGAGCGTCTGTTATGTTATGTTATGTGGTTACAGTATTTCCGCCGCCGACGCGGCGGGTGCCCTCACGAGCCGTGAGGCTCCAGAGCACGCTGTTGACGCTCATCAAAAACCTCAGTAAGGAAGGTAGCGATTTTCCTCGGATTGGTATTAAGAAATACCTTGCGCATATCAGTATCTTCAACGTTAATCAAAAACCTATTACGCAACTCAGTATACACCTCACACTCCATAGCACAGCACATGATATTCATCCTCAACCTTACCCGACGTACAGACCTGACACGTACGGCACTCTCTCGGCCTATGGTGCCCTTTGTTGACCTCCAAAGGCCAACAACAAAGACGGAATTTGGCAACCATACGCACCTGGTTGACCGGCAAATAAACACGCAAATAGCCTGTGGGATCGGAGCCCTCGCTTGCAGGTGAAGGGGAGCCCATCCAGTTATGATACCTGCAAAGCGAAACCCCTTTACCTTGGAACATACGCGGATCACCCCCTTGGCTGAACTGATCCCAGTCACTTAAAAGGAACGCAGATAACCTCTCCAGAACCTTACCCACTCGAATCAACTGAGACGAGTACACATCTACTTTCTGAGAAACGGAGTCACACGCAGGCCACTCATGACCCAACCAACGCAAAATGATGAGCACTTTAGACGACCAGCAATCCACTTTGAGATCAGACAGAAGAGCCAGACGGAGATCATCTACTAACACATCATGATAGACCGACCCACGGGACTTGACTATCTTATTCCAGAAACAAAACGCAAGGCGTAACCAAAAGTACTGCAAAGGCAACTGAGACAACTCCCTGTACAACAGCTTGTAAGGCACCTGCTTGAGCCCAGCACAACGTAAACAGAAGTCACGCTGGACCTGAACCATACCATCTTCCAAAGCCAAATCAAAATATGACTTACCAGCGGGTAAAACACCTCTATCTAACCGCAGAACGGAGACAATCCTATCAGGACCCCAAACCTCAGCACCATAACAGAGAACTGAACGAACCTGGGTGTCTGTAAAAAATACTTTAAAAGATTATATTAATCATTTATAAATTGTGCCCTGGTAAAATCGATAGGGACCGTCCCTTTCTATTGTACCAATCGGCGCGATGGACAGATGATCACGCAAAACGTTTACAGACGAATTCCTGTAGTAAGAGTGCACTGCTGTTTATCGTTGCAGATAAATCAGCCACAAGCTGTACACAACAGAACATTTATACAGGAAATTAATTTGCATGCATTATAAGGAAATCCTGGGTGTTTCCAGTCGTGCTTTATGCCCTCCACACACATCATCACGCACTATGTCCGTCAGTCCCTTGCTTTGAAATTTGTCACGCCCCCATACCGAAACCCCTCAATTACCTCCAGGTGCGTCAACCTCTTAGATTTGGTCTTCGGTACAATATCCCTGGGAATGGACCTGGACAACAGCAGAGCCCACAGCAGCATCAGTGGCAGCAGTCGTGGTGGATCTACGCCAACCACGTCCAACACACTGGTGTTTAATTTGGACAAAATTGCCATAGATAGTGCCGATAAGAACGGGTGAGCAAACAGGTGGGCGGGTAGTGGCTTCCGTGCACCATGTGATGAATGGGAGCAGCATTTCCAGGCTGAGAAGCGGCTTGCCTCTGCTCAGCCATGAAGACGGGCGAAATATGTTAGGGCAAGCGACTAACATCGTAACGCCAATAGGAATTATTCAAGGGCATGCCGGGTGCTTGCTGCAACCTCCGGACTCGCATGTGCCCTGTCAACCGGGGATGTTTGTAGGGGTGCATGGTGTTCCCATGCCAGGAACCCGGAGCAAATGAACCAGAAGCCGCCATCACTGCACCAGCCTATGTCTGGCGGGTTCGGATTGTGTGCTCAACCACACTTCCCAAGTCCCCTGCTTTCCGTGCTGCTTTGCTATTCACGTCGTACTTGGGCCGCGGGGCTTTTGGTGGGGATAAGATGAGTGGGTGACCTTTTCTGTACAGCACCTGGAACTGCCAAGCCCAGCTTATGTTCGCTTCCTCCAGGATACGGCTGCCGGTGCCTAAGGACACCCAGGCCCCCCGACTGCTCCTTATGGGCCTTGGCAAGCCGTACATCAGCACCGCTGGCGAGCCGGTCATACTGGATGAAGTGCCGTATGGATCAGCCTGGACAGATCCAGGTTGGGCCGTGTGTACTAGTTGTCGTACAGTACGGCGTATGTAAGCAATATCGACAGGCTGAAGTTCTCTGCCAATATGTTGAGAAGCGCTTTTGTGATTATAAAGGCTCGTGCTTTTTAGTTTGGGTTTTGGGGGTACATTTGGCAACGAATCCTGATCATCGGATGAAGTCCAGGCCGTCAGGTTCACCCTTTCAGACTGGAAGGGGCTGACGATGGTCCTTGGCAGGATACATGCATGTTATAGATGTTACAGCAAATGGTTGTTATAATGCAGACTGAGAAGTGACCAAGTACCCGGTTCTGTACCAACAGAGATCATGCCAGCCAGCGATTTTTTGGCAAAGCCCTGGCAGGGAAAGGCACATGCAGGGGTCCCACTTCCCCACCACGTACGACAGCCACAATACCCGTCGTCATATCGAGAGAACTTTCTGGCGACCAGCTATAACGTGGAGCTCACTATTTAATCATCTCATGGTCGTCTCATTTCATGAGAATGTGACGAGATTGCGTTTGCTTACGTAGAGACGAGTTTACACCCTCAACCTGCAGCCCCTTATTGTAGCTCTCTCTGTTGCTGCATACCCCTCTCCACTCACCAAACTTTGGCCATCAGGCGCTACCGCCTTCGACATTGACGAATTCGGCGCAACAATCAACCTGACGAACGCTATCCAAGTGTACGGCATCACTGCTGTCGACACTTTCGCTGCCACACCTCCGCCGGCTCTGCACAGCTATGTCATTCGATACAGCGTGACCGACAGCAGCGGTGTGGCAGCCGTCGGCTGGCGCTTAATCAAGATCATCTGCACCCCGCCAGAAACGTTTTGTGTGGATGACGAGGGGGAAGGGCAGTGCACGGTCAGCGGTGTGTGCGGTTTCGGCCGGTATTCGTCTGCTTTCAACAGCGCGGCTGGTGACCCCACCGCCAACGGTGGTGGTAGCGCTAGCAGTGGGAGCGCCGAAGGCAGCAGCAAGCGCAGCAACGCCACCAGCCAGTGGGGTGTTGAAGCGGATGGGTGGGAGCCAATGAATGACCCGTCCGCCCCACGCATCGCTCTGCGGGGCCCAAGACTGGTGGAAATCCCGCAGTTTGGCAGCTTTGACAGGTAGGCAATGGGGATGGATTGTCTGGGGAGTCAGAGTGGTGGAAGCTGGAGCACGCAGATCACTAAAACATACAATTTTGCCTTGCATCTTGTTCTTGTTCTTGTTCTTCTTCCCCGCGTGAATACATAATGACCTGGTATCTGGAACCGGGCATGCCTTTTCACGGCATCCATCTATCCATGAGCCACCTGTGTATCCGCGTCCTTACCCTTTTGCTGCATACGAAATGATCTGTGTACCTGGATGAATTGCCGACTATGTTGCGGTCTTCCGTGCCGATTTCCTAAAAATGCAGATTTAATGTTTGTGCCCTCACTTGCTCCTGTGGATGCACCCACTCACAAATTTCGCTTCCGTTTTGTTATTGCGCGTATTTGCACCAGGTGCATGAAGGACATGCCGGCTAGTCTCCCTTGCGACGCCGGTGCACGCGTCCTGGACCCGTTGGAAGGGGACCTGGCCAGCAGGCTGCGGGTATGCGGTCAGCCATTCACGCCTTCCAGTACGGCGGCGACGGCATACACTACCGTGCCGGTGCTGCTGGCCTGCAACATTTCCAGTTCGATCCCCGGCGTGTACACAATTACCTACGATGTTTCCAACAGTGGTGGCAGGACGGCGGCCACCATGCGCACGCTGGTGGTCCGGGCAGCTTGCCTCCCTGGCGAACAGTTATGTAGCGATAATGTGAGTTCCAGGAGGCGGAAGCAGGCCCATGCCGCTACCCAGTCGTACCGCCTTGTCGGGTATGCCTTGTACTAGTCGTACATGACGCTGTGGCTCACCAACACGTGCACCGATACGCCCACCGATACACTCACTTATAGCCCAACCCGACCCAGATCACCCACCAACCCACGCCTACTGACCCATGGGTCCTTTTTGGCGTGTCAGGTGACCTGCTCTGTGGACCAGGTGTGTCTCAGCGAGCTTGGATCCATCGGCAAGCTTGGAAGACCCCAAGCAGCCGGAGTCGTTAGTCAGCAGGAAACTCCGCCTAACCAGGCCCCCACCATCGAGCTCCGCGTCTCGGAAGCAGCATCGATGCTGGTGCATGTTATGAGGGGCGCGAGGTAAGCAAGGCTGAAGACGGAGGGCTGCATGGGCCGTGTGGGGCATGGGGTTTCGTGCATGTAGCCATGGCTTGGGGCCGGGGCGATTAGGAGAGAAAGCATAAACGCTAAGATTGAATCAGGGGGTAGGGACAGGAGTTGAAGGATAATGGAAATGCGTGGCGTGCACTGTACGCAAGACGGCTCAATAGAGGTGAGTGACATTGTGATGCTTCGGTGTGGACGGCAGCCTCCCAGGTCTGAAACAGGGGGCGAGGTGGAAGCACAGATGTTAAGGGGGGAGAAACCTAGAACCCGCAGATATCGGAAAGGGCAAGGAGACGCCACACCCGCCTTAAGACCCCCGGCCGCCATACACACAACGGCTCGCACACGCATCGCAGGTACGACTATTGCAATGGCAGTGTACCGACTTTCGACAAGCCGTGTGAGCCAGGCGCCCGAGCAACGGACCCCGATGGCGCCGTATCAAGGAATGAGGCTACATCCTCTTCGGTGCTGGTTGCTCTCGATCTGACAGGCGCGGTCATAGCCTGTCCACCGGCGGCGTGTTTGTCAGCCGAAGGGTGCACGACGCGGGTACGTTTGTAGGCCGACCAATGCAGCACTGGCCGGCTCAAAATATGTGCACGTAAGAGCATCATGCGCACGTGTATGAGCGCGTATATCTGCATGTATGTGTACGAGAGTGTGTCTTGTTTGGAAGATCGGAGCAGCAGCATGCAGCATGCCTGGGTTGACAAGCTGTCGGGATCTTGAAGGTTGTCCGGCCTCCCGGGCGAGGAAAAATAGTTTCAGACAAACAACAAGATAAGGATGTGGAAGATGGGCCGAGGTGGAAACGGTTAGGTGGATATACCAGCAAATCACAATGAAGTGTTCTGCTGCTGGACTGCATTTGAAACTTTTGCCGCCATAGGAACAGCATCTACGTGAGACTTGGGTTCTTCATATTGCCATCAGAAGCAGCTATTGTGCACAATATATGCATCAGTTTACATGGTATCGGACATGACCTGGTACTGGGTGTGTGAATTCATGCGTTTCGCTGGGCTGTTGTTAGGGACATGAGCCTGGTCTCAGTTTGACGGCCCTAGCGTAGTTCGAGTCATTAAGCATGCCGTGGCTGCTTTTGAGTCTAGTTCGGCATTTGATTGGTCCCTAGTGCTTCATCTCCCCCCTCCAAACCCATACATTTCACAGAGGCACACACACATTTACAACTTCACAGCTCAGTTTTGTAAAGTGCACGCATGCAAGCAGTTATGGATATATACTCCCGAAATCCACCCTGGCAGGAGTTAGAGAGCTACACACTGCGCCTGCGCGGGCTGGCAGGCTGTGGGATCAACACGCTGGCGCCGGTAGGGACCATCTTCCCGGTAGACTTCTGGGTGTGGGATAACGCCCGCGCCAATGCTACTGTACGGCGTTACGTCACCATCTCGGACCCATGCGCCACTTCGACCGTCACAAGTGTCATGGGTACCACGGGGAACATCAGCGGCTCCCCTCCCTTGCCCACCACTTACTGTGAGGACCCACAAGGAGGGTAAGTCCTCTGTAAACCAGCTCTTCAGCTTGGCGCTCCATGAACTCTAGGATTCAAAGCGCAACAGTACATGATTTTACAACCGTCATCTGTTGACGAGCTCAGACCTGGCCTAGCACTGCGACATGTGTCCTTATGCTTGGATGTCATTGAGGCGCCTAGTATGCACAGTGAGCCTGCCACCGGGTTTCCAGAAGTTTCGGAGCCTTATTATTCTTTACTTTCATATCTTGGCATGTTTGAAGCCTGTTTGAAGGATAGCGCAGTCCAGCTGCAAATTTTATTCATGAGGCAGGTAGTGGGGACGGCACGACCATCCCACAGGCTGCTGTACGTGGAGCTGGCTGAACTCCCCTTACAATATTACATGGTGAAGCAGATCCTCCGTTTCTGGAACCGCCTTCAAAAGCAAGTGGGATCCATTGCTCATGCCGTTTTACGGCAGGAGATAACCGATGCCCTGACCAACCCGGAATGGGAGGGTTGGGTAATCTCAATGTTACGACTGTTTTCCTTCTTGGAGTGCAAGACTGGTTGCTGAGTAGACCTCTACCCGAAGGAGCGATGATAACGGCACTAAGAGAGCGTTTGATGAGTGGCTGGGACCATACGCGTCTGACTGTCTTGCCAGAGGAGTACCCATCAGATGGGAAGCAACCGGGAGTGCAAATGGCGAAGTATAAGCACTGGATGGGGCGCCAGGTCCACACCGCTGACCAGCAGACAATAACAGCGGCAACTAGCAGATGTTCTGATAAAGAGAGTTCGTACCAACCAGAAGCCGAGTCAGAGATCACAAAGAAGATTTATAAGACAAGATGAACCACCACCGAGCAAAACAGCAGCTCAAGACAACAACCAACCGCACCGTACGACACCGCTCTGACGCCCGTCTGCAAACCACATTTTAGGCGACGCCTAAAATAAGATTTTGAATCCGGGCTGAGCAGCTAGCCAGACCAAGACACCGGGACGAGAAACCCAAACGCGTTAGTTACAGCACGACTAACAAGAACACGGCACCAGGGATGTGGATATATGGTTGGGGAGAAAAGACGTCCAGCCTGCCTGCCAGAGCACGCATGCTACTTCGTGCGGCCCTTCCGGGCTACTGTGCTCTTCCGCATTGGTAACCAGCAGGCAGCCGACGGCCTCGCTTGGGTTACTTTGGCCCCACGCCTAACCCAGCGAAACATCCCCCCCCAACCAGTCGCGTCACATTCACTCCACCACTGTCCGCCTCACAGCAACGGACCAGCGAATGTAGACCAGCACCACATCGGACCTCCACCACCCGTGCACCTTAATCTCCTCAAGACCCACCCCAGCATTGGCAGCTGTGGTGGCCCCGCCCTTGCACAAGCTGTAGGCCGATATCCTAGCGAGATCTATCCTCCGCTCCAGCTCGTATCCTTGCAATTCTCCCAGCAATACATGCAGCCTGCCAGTGAAAACCCTGTGCCGCCAAGCCGAGCCCCACTTGCCCGGCCAAGTGATTCCCCATACAAAGAGCGGGGAGTGAACTCCGGCCATTCTCATGCACTCCAGGTGCCAACACTATGCGAGCGATGGGGATGCCGATCTGGGTGAACGCTGCCAGGCCCACCAACACCCCCGTGCCCTTCTGGTCCGTCTTGCTATGTATGACCTGCAGCGCCATAACCCCTCCTGGCAACTCCTCAACGCTGCCCACCATCAGGGCCGCCAACTCACTCCTCTGGAGCATCCCGAAAAAACCCAAAACCAGCCAGCAGGCATCCTGGGTGAACTCCATCACCCTCCACGGCTCTGCATTTGCCCTGCACCGTAGCCACGCCACGAGCAGCTCCAGCACCCACTGGGGCAGGGGTGCCTTCGTCTTGGTCGGTGCCGACTCCGGCCTCACAGCAGCCCTCCGCAACTCTTGGCCCAGGGTTCGCTTGACCAGCGGGTCGCGGCTGATATATGCCTCTGGCGAGACCCTCATGAACCACTGCCAGTCCGCCAGGGCGCTTAGCATGCCAGTGACGGTGGAGGTCGTGTACCGGCCAACTGCATGCGCTTTCAGGAGCCACAGCCGTCATGTGGCCAACACATGCTAAGGTTTTCATTCCTTTTTAGCACATCGTAAGCTAATGCAGTTTCGTTTATGTTGCTGGGCTTTGGAGGCAAACAGAGCACGAAGGGGCAAGTAACACGTCCCCAGGGGGCAGTGGTTTTGCCACTGTTGTGGTACTAATAGCCAAAGTGAGGATGAAAAACAAGTGTTTTCATGAGAAATCAACGTTCGTTACACACTAAGGGTACCTGCAAGCAGTAAACAGCCGTCTTCAATCGGTAGGTAGGCCGGGTGAGGGCCGGCTACCATGAAACTTTAATAATCGAGGGAGGCGGGCAAACCCAACCAACCCCGCGACACAGTCTGGCCAACGTTCATGCCCCACCGCCCTTAAGAGGGCCACGGCCACAAGCTAGGGCTTGTGCCGACCACACACATTTAAGGCTCGTGCCCCCCCCGCCCTTAAGAGGGCCTCGGCCGCAAGCTAGGGCCTGCACCGACCGCCCCCCCCCCCACACACACATTGAGGCTTATGCCTTTTGTCTGCCATTGATAAGGCCCAAACCAAAAACCCAGCTAAACAGCGCCGGGGGAAACACAACCCCGACCTCGACCCGAGCCCCACGACTCCGCTACTTCGGCGGGTTCGGGCACTCCTTGGCCCAGTGGCCCATGACGTTGCACTTGAAGCACGGCCCCTTGGGAGCCTAAGGCGCCGACGGCCCAGCCGCGGCCGCCACCTGCGCCGGTTGCACCTTCACGGGGGGCTTAGTGACCTTCCGGCTGTCAGCTGCGGCCTTAATGGCCTTCTTCAACGCCTTCTGCTCTTCCTCCGTGGCCGTGTAGGGTGTTCCCTGCAACTGTCCCACGACGTCCCACCCGTGGTGGTGCATGATGACGAGTTCTTTTGCCTGCTGCTCGAAGACTTCTTGCGCCTTGTGAACCGCCTCCTCCATCACCTCCACGTGCTCCGCCCGGTTAGCCGCAGGAGCATCAGCGACCGCGCGCCACTTGAGCTGCACGTCTGCGAACGCGTCGTGTAAGAAAGCCAACCGCTGCCGCTGCCCAATCAGCGACTTGTTTCCTTTGCCCTCGGAGGTGCCGAAGTCGCACTCGAAGTCCGTGAGGACCATGCACTGCTTCTTTGGAGCCGGCTCCGCTGTCTCCCGCTGCTCAAGCAGCATCCACTGTGTCCATAAATGGACGAGCTGCTGGTGCTCCCGTATCGCATCCATGTACTGCGTGTGCGCCTCGTGTAGCTGCCCGGTCAAAATTTTTCCCGGATCCGTTCGAAGTTGCTCCTTTGCAGCTTTCACATTTTTATGTTCCATAATTGCATTAAGACGCTTTGATGCTTCGTCTACCAGCAAGCCGAGCTGGTCGGACGCAAGGTCACTGTCCATTGTGAAATTTCTAGTGAGGGCCGGCTACCGTGAAGGCTATCGCTATGGCCTTGACGCCTACAGCCTCACGGCAACCACCCTATGTAGCTACAAAACCCGAAAATCAGTCCTCCAAGCACTCGTGAACTCCTTAACTGGCACCAAGTGCCGTACCAACGCCCTTACGAAGGCACAACTCGTCTGAGTTCACAGAAAACCTTGGTTTTCTAGTGTTGCACTCAGAAAACCTTCAGTTATTGGAATGCCCAGCCTATAATGATATTCGTGCTGAAGAGGGATTCGATCATCAACAGAGCATGTTGGAGGCCATGCAATGGGAACCCGCACATCTGGCAAGGATGTTGGAACGTATGTGGGCTCACCGAAACTCAATTACCCCCTTTGGACGCTAGCCTGGGCTGATGTGCGGTGTTTTCCTTTCCTCCGTGGCTTTTACGCATTGTAGTATTGCCCTTGGGCCTTCGGCTTGTATGGGTAGTCTTACAGGTATGAGGTCACGCACCCCCAACCATGTAACACACACACATATCTTGGCGCCTCCCAGCCCTCCATACCACAGGTATCCAAAGCCGCGGTTTTGTAGCCAATTGGCTGTTGGCATCCTATGGCTTTGCTTCAAGGTATTGCCTGCATAATGCTTCCTCATCTCCTTTGCTCAGCCCCAGATGACCTGGCCCCGGTGACTCCCTGTTCCGCTGTCCCTGTGCGATCTGCCATTACCAACTATGCACCGGTGCTGCACTCTGGGCAGGTTTTTCTGCTCGCCACTCCCGTGTTCTGTTGCCAATCAGCTCAAGACTACTGTGCTGTACACACCCGCGCTCGCCATACTACCCAGTGTCGCATATGTGGAGTACGGCAAAGTGCCAAAGATGTACCTGGGGCCGTGTACGGCAATAAATGACACATCAGGTTGCAGCGTCTTCGCACTGGGCCTTACGGTTTACGGTGACGGCCGACGAATGTTGTTAGATCTGACGGGGTCCATTACCGTACAGCCAACTATCAGCTGCGAGCAGGGCAGTGGCGACAGCAAGAAGCAATGTAAGACGTGCACGATGGAGATGCTTCACCTGCCGCGGGGGTGTCTGCCAGGAACTTACAAGTACAAGTGAGTTGTTCGGTCAAAAGGGCAGAAAGTTGCATAACGCAAGCAAGCCGTCTATCGTTATCTTGCGTTGATTGCGGTCGGTACGGGAAAAATCTTAATCGTTTTAAGGAATTACGGTCGTCATTTTTCACCTACCCCAAAATTTACGTCAATTAGTGATTGCTAATTGTCAGGTCGCCCGCCAGAGCTACATCTGTCCACTGAGTGTGTAGTCGTGACTCACGACTCGTGAGCGGTAATCCTCAGTAGTAGACCCAACAGGATGTTTTCTGCTCAAATTATTTACGCTTTAGCATTGCGAATCGCGGCTTGCAGTTGGCAACACCCTACGAGCTATCCTCTCGCATCAAGCTGGCATCTAAGACATCATTAGGACGACTTAAAAGTCCCCAACCGGAAGCGAGCCTGGCATGGCGATTGGCATGCGTCGTAAACTGCCGGGGCACTTGCCATTTGCAATTTTGGCAGCTGCATTACGAGAATCAACCAAATTTGATTTGGCAAAACTCGCGGCTTTTCCTGCCTCGGCCTCTGTGTTTCAGTTTTTATTCATAAGGTTGCCTACGTTTAGTCATCGTCTCCAAGACTTGCATGACCTACTTTTCACACTTACAGCGGATTATGATATGATTGCTGACCGTTGAGAGAAGTTTGGGGCATGGTTAGAGAAATTCAGTGCCGCACTGGTGGTTAGGAAATTCTGCTCTTGGCCGTCTTGACGAATGTTACGGTCCGACAGTCCACATCGTGATAGCAAATAACGACAGCGACCATGCTTTCCGTGATTTACGAAGCCATAAACCGCTATACAGAAATACCATATGGCTCCACCCCTATGCGGAGTATATCCCCCGTGGCGAGCGGCATACACTGTTCCTGCATGCTGCAGGTTTACTGCGAGTAACGGCTACAGCGAAGTCACCTCGTATCGCACCGTACATGTGTACTACAAGTCCTCCACGCTCGTCTCATTCCCATCACCGTTATCCGCCCCCGCCAACTTCAAGTACAACAGTGCAACCTTAGTGGCGGAGCATGCGGCCGCTATCAACACTAGTGTCGCATCACTGGCAGACACCTCCGCCTCAATCCTCCCGGCGCTCATAACCATGAACGCTACCGAGCCGTACAAGATGGCATTCTCGTACGCCGCCAATCGCTTGGCGTCATTGGGATATGACTCCTCAGACATACAACTGCTGGTGGGTTGCTATAATTTCTCCCTCGAATGTGTTTTACTTATTACTGTTTACTGAATGGAGCTGTGATTAGGTTGTGTCATGGGAAGATAGCTGGCAGCTGATCAGCTCTACTCCCACATGCAGAACGAAACCCCCATCTGCCCTCTGGAATGCAGTCACATGTCCCTCAGTGGCATGACCTCATGCACTTAAGCTTGCTCTGCGAAATGGTGATTTCCTCCTGATATACAGCATATGGGTGTTTTCTGATGGTGAAAAGGAATCCTGGGGATTAGATTGAGGGGGTTTCTCCGCAGTCTTTGCTTTACTTATTACTTCTGGCGAACATAAAGGCAGGTAAAGTCCGAGGGCAAAGTGTGAACCTTAAGGTGACCGCATGGTTTGTGTGCGCCAAATGCGCGTATTTTCCTCCACAAAACCACTATGCACAGGGTGCAAGCACAGAGCAAGTATCAAGCGCTACCACCGTGCTCCGTGTGGCGGCGGCAATACACACCTACCTGCCCTCAGCCGTACACCGTGGTGCTGTCGCTGATTTCAACAACTTCACATCGCTTTTCATGGATGACCCATCTTTTCGCCACGAGAAGCTGTTGGAGGTCTTCGGATACGACACCAGTACGGGAACAGTGCACCTGGCTGGTGATGCTGACGTCAGTGGTATTACCCATCATCGCCGTGAACTAAGTGAAATGCAGCCTGATGACGCCAGCGATTTGAAGCACTCCTTGGCGGTCCACTATCCGGCCAACAGCGTTGGCGGCAGCATTGAAGGCCACCTTGCCCGGGGGTCACGGGCCCAGAAGGCATTGGAACTCGATGGTACCAGCCATGGAATTGTGGAGGACTTGATTTTGGAGCTGCTGATGGCAAACATCCACAATCGGGATCGTGGTGGAGGCGGCAGCTCCATCCCCGACCGGGATGCCACTGGTGACGTATACCATCACACACTGGTCCCTGCTGCGGGGAGGTGGCTGGTGGCAATTGCAGAGGCACTCTGGCTGCCCTTGCGGCTCCTGACACCACAGAAGGACATTGGTGCTGACACCAGTGGCGGGGATGCAACCATGGTGACAGGGCTCCCCAACCTAACTCCAAGAATGCCGGTGGATATTGCCTCTGGGGAAAGTGGTAGCGACAGCAATGGTATTGACATGCATCATTTACAAAGGCAATCGGTGGAAGATGGGCTTGGCAGTCACAGTCAGCAGCGGCTGCTACGGCAGCAGCAGCAGCTTCCTGGTGATGGCCCAGCAATTACTGCTGCACTAAGCACTGAGCCTGGCTCTGAAAAGATCAGTGATGATACTGCCGCGGAACTGCCCGATGGTGCCTCATCGTCTGTTTCCCTCGTGCAGATGCTCATAGAAGCGCTTTCACAGCAGGCAGTGGAGCTGGCGATGGAGGCTTCAAGTATAGCAGCTCGGATGAGCAGCGGTGATCTAGATAGTGGTCCGCAGGCAGCAGACCTGCGTCAGTCAGCAGAGGAGATGTTATCATACTCGCAGCTTTTAACAGACATGACTAGTGTGGCCGTGGACACGCAAGCTAGGTGGGGACACTTCCACATGTCATTGAAACAACGAGCATGCTGATAAGTATTGCACCAGGCATGTTAGTAAATCTGATAGGTGCTGTGAAGGGCATGTTTGGGGGTTGCTAAACCTAATTGAGTTACAACAGGAGGAGGGTGCTGAAAGAGTTCTGTTGTGCAAGGGGCCATGCATGGAGCATATGCTTGGTTTTCTCCCGTCTTCTGTTAACATATTATCACCCTCCCTGTGGACGCCCTTCCATCCGCGCATCCATTGACTGTAATCACCCAGCCTGGATGAGATCATCATCACTCAAAAGGAGCTGCGGTCAGTGCTCGCTGCAGCCGCTGGCGCCTCCGCTGCCATGCAAAGCTTGGTGACGACTGCTGCTGCAGCATCCAATGCAAACGCTGATGCTGCAGCCACCGCTGCTCGTCAGCTGCTGATAGATCTGGAAGCAGGCGCGAGTACGTCCGCATCAGCGGCCGTTAAAGCAATGCATCTGGCAGAGGCGGCATTGGGGGAGGTTGAGTACGTGTGGATAAACTGCGGGGATGACCTGGCAGATGATACACAACGCGCATTGCTTCAGTGGCGGTTCCATATCAATGTGTACAGTACTACGGATGTGGACGCCGGTGATGATAACCCCACAGCGGGGGTATCCAACGGTGAGTATTTAAGAATAAAAGCTGGAGGGATGGTAAGATTGATGGGGGCACGTAGTAGAGTTGGTAAGTTGAGCAGGAGAGCTATGACATAAATGTTTAATATTGGAGCCTCCTCACCTTCCTACTCTGAAGGACTGGACAGCTCCTACAATTCAGGGCTGACATCACTGTGTGTGTTTGTGTGTGTGTGTGTGTGTGTGTGTGTGTGTGTGTGTATGTTGCACCTTGCGTTGGATTGCCCTCAAACCGGGTCCTTATGAACAGGGGGCCCAGGGGATAGCTGATGGCCATCCGATTCGACACATCTCAGAGAAGTCACAAGGAAAACAATTATCCTACTGCACTCACATCAAGCCGAGTTGGCCGAACTAGCCGAATTATTGAACGCACCATCAGCTATTAGAGACCCTATTTAGCCAGGATCTGTGGAGAAGGTTTGCCAACTTCAGCTGGTCATGAGCTATGTCGTTGCTGGGCAGTCTAAGAAAACATGCTTTCGTCCATCTTCCAGCGTTTATACGACGAAAACACCTTAACAACCGAAGGATGTCGACAGGATTTAGCGTACTGGCATCCCTATGGCATAAACATGTTGGTTACCGACCGTTTTTAACACTACCGGGGATCATTAACCGAACCGACCGATTAACGATTGTTAAAGACACGGTAACCGGCCAGTTGGGTTAACGGTCAGTTGAGTTAACGGTCAGGTAGGCTGGTGATCAGAGTGGCTGTCTTGATCTCAAGGTAAACATGTAGTTACAGCAATCTAGGCCATACATGCATATCTGTCACCCCTGTCACCCAGTCATGTCACCGTATCAATCTATCTAGGAATCAACATTGCCTGCCATTCAGGTTGAATAGCAGTCTAGATGTTCATCTCTCAACTGTAGCATCACTATTACAACTTTTCAGTCTCCATGCATGTATGTGGAAACTAGCTTGCCGCGGCTGCTGCCTCCTCGAACGGCAACCCCATCTAGTGCTTGTATTTCGCCATCTTGATGCTAATATGGTTGTTTCCTGCCCGAGGATAGGGTCACGGGGTGCAACAACCAACCTCTCGTAGTTCCATGCCTGGTATGACGACATGAACCGACATCGAAGCTTGAAAAGGATTGCTCCCTCAGGGCGGGCTTTCCGGTACACCAATCCTTACTATCGTCATATGAAAACCCGGCGGGTAAGCCATCTCACACATCAATATGCATGCCCCTCAAGAGGCGGAAGAGCTTCAATCCCCAGCCATCTGCGAGATCCTCCCAGAAGGACACCCCCTGGCATGGCTGAAGGACCCCGGTTGGGTGACTGTCTTATTCCAAAATTCAATAATGCACTCGTGATCGGCACCCAAGTAATGCAAGGGCAATTGCGAGAGTTCAGCAAGCACTAGCATGTGTGAGGGCCGAACAGCTCCCACTACTCAGCACATGTGTGTGTGTTGCACCTCAGTTCGGTTACCCAGATAGACGAGTGCCCAAACACGAGCCAGATAGAGGCCCAAGAGGCGCACCAAGATAACCCGCAGCTTCATCGTAGGGTCAACCAGACAGCTCCCGAAAAGGCTCTCCGCAAGTTGTTATGGTCCCCACGCTTGGCAGTTCGTGACAGAGCTTCATCTAGGGTGTCAGGTCCCCAGGAGCAAGTGGAGCGAACTTCTACCTCAAAGTACCTCATCCGTAGGTCAGGGCCCCACAACTTACGCTTGTCTACCTTGGCTAACAAGTTGACCTTCACTGAAATAGCCATTCGTTAAGGATGAGGACTTGTGTCGCAAGGTCCCAGATTCATTTTTGGGTCATGGCACTCATGGCTTCGGGAGTACAATTCAGATAACCCAGCTTTACAGGACTTAGATAAACATTTATGTGTTAACCACCCGAACAACTAAGAGCAAGTCAGGCATCCTTGTGCTCCTGAAAAATGTATACTGCTGTAGTGGCTGGCCGCTGAAAAGACCTCTCGAGATGCTGGTGGTCATGCTACGCGTGTATTTGTAGAGCTGCACTGTGTACCAGCTACTACAGGGAAATGTAGCTTACTACAACTGCACTCCCTTAGGCAGTTCACTGGTTGCCTATGTGCAAAATAGCCCCTGGTGCAGACCACCCTCATATGTACTACATTCCCCCCCTTTGAAGGGATCCGTCTAGGGCTCTTTCGGCCTCATACACCACCAGCCTGTGCCTACCTTCTCCTACCCTTGGGCAGTGGGGTGTTCAAGTCCACGTCACGTCATGTGCCCCTTTCACATGCGCCTAGCTGTCTTCAAGTGTTACAGGCACAGAGACAGTCCAGTTGGTTCAGCTACATTTTAATTTCGCGATCATCGCTCACTGAGTCATCAAACCCGGTATTCCACATAGGAAGCAGGGTGGTCTGGCGAAGTCCTGCAGATAGCTTAGATGCTGACTAGATGGCACAAGAACGGGCAAGTCGTAATACGCAGCAACTAGCAACCTACGAAAAGGGCCAAGATTCCCTCCAAGCAATCAATCAACAGCGATAGGGGTTTACCTTACCGACTGAGTTTGCCCGGCGTGAAGGCTATGGGCGTTGATAGGCCCACACAGGAGTTCGGCTGGTTTAGGGACGTTACTTATGTGGTTTACACAAGGGAGGACCGCACAGGGCTTATTGTCTAGCTCAAAGAACCTTACAATGTTCTGATTAGAACGTTCTGATTAGAGCCGTAAAGCGACTTTTCCAAGCTCGCTGCCGGCTATAAATACCGAAGGCACGCTATCGATCACAGGAGGCCCTCAAAAGATAAGCCTCGAGTATGACTACGACGTATAGTCCACAAATGACACAAGTGAAGCACATTATAACCGGGTGACAAAACATCCACACAAGAAATAGCTAATTCACAAGTAAAATACGTAAACATACGCAAACGAGTGTACATTCGCATCTCGACCATAAATCGATCAGCGAAGTGTGAGGTATGAACCAAACACCTTACACGAGTATAAGACAACACGAAATCCGCGTATTCATACCGATTATAACCTAAGACGATTAGAAAAGACTGTAAAATGAACGTGACGCTAAAATGTCGTGACAGCTGTCGCATCATACGACTGTAGCATCGAACAAAACACTTGCGGACTCCCCCCCCAGCGGGCGAAGCCGAGATGGTGAATGCCCGTGGAAAGCTCCATGTACGCACCCTTAAAGTAAGTGCTCAGCTAAGCTGCTATCCTTCAAAATCACACGCTTGATAACCGGATTCGTGAATACAATAAGCCAGATAAAAGACTGGTACTCAGACTCAACGGAAGGACAATTCAACATCAACAAACAATCCTGATCTTGCAGAGTGCGCAACCACTTCATGCACGCTTCATCAGCACCCGATATGTGATCAACCGGGACCCTGGCTACCACCAAGCCCTTGACCGACTTAATCGCTGCCGGAATTGCCAAATCTAACAACGCGCCAGTAATTGACAAGACTGCTGCATCTACAGATGCAAACTGCTTATCTACGCCATCGTAAAACTGAGGCGACAAGGGATCACTAAATTTTACCAGTTTCCCTTTTAAGACAAGCGCGCGCCCGAAGACAACAAAGCGACACGCAAAGGTCTTAAACCCTCGTAAGGCAATCACATTATTAACTAAGCTCCAACACAACGCTCCTCGCAACACGTCGACATGCGGCTGCGGTACGGACGGAAGTTGAAGACGTTGCTCGAATAACTGATTGGTGACCAAAGCTATCTTGAATACTGAGTGGTCTCCCGCCATAGCCAGATCCAGCGCCATCGGAACGTCCGCGGCTGAATCCAAACTCCAGTGCTCCAGTTTCGATGCGGCTGCTGCAACCGCCGCTGCTCCCACCACTCGCCTTGGGCGGGCAGACTTAGGTGCAAGCATATTGCGCAGCTGCACAACATCCACCAGCTCCAGTTCGCCGTCCTGGCAAAGCACCTCGAAGAAGTGCTTCCTGCCTCGTTTACCGGCATAGCCCTACCAACTCATAGGGGGTCTAACAGCGGCTAACAGGCGTGCCTGTTAGGAAATGTTAGCCTAACAGATTCTCTAACAGTGATGGGGCTGTCAGACGATGTTTGGGCTGGCGGCAGGTGGATCTGGCTGTTAACAACCATGTTGGAGAAGTAGAACAGGAATTGGTGCTGTTAGCCGTTGTTAAGGCTTGTCAGATGTTTTCAGACTGTATTTTAGCTCTGTCTCACGGTGTTGATGGATAATGTCGTTTAGAACAAACATTCTTGAACGGTTTGTAACGAAATGTCCTGCCTTTTGCCTAATATTTGGCAAACCATACGTTTCAAGCAATATCATCAATCATGCATATTACCTCGCTTATTAGCAAGGCACTAATTGACTGGATGAAAATCCAGGCTGCTGTTCCAAAAGCACTACTGCTGCAGTGAATTTAGGCATGAAACGAATGGCACTACTTACATGGCGTAAGGTATCCATGTGCTTCACAGTTTAGCATACGAAGCACTACTGCATTTGAAAAGCAGTTCAACGCCAATATCTGCTTACAGCCACCAGCAGGCCCACACGGTTGAATGATCTGCATCCACTCTCTCGTGACCGAAACACAACGTGCTGCACCTAAAGTAGGCCCTGAGCTTAAGATAGAAGAAAACATGTTGATGTTCAAATTCAAGATCCTCCCTTCATATCCAGTGACCTGCTCCA